AGAGAAAGAAAGAGAAAGAGAGAAAGAGAGCCAGGTAGCCACCAGCCAGCCAGCCACACACACACAGACAGTTATGACAAATTTGCTATGGTAATTAACAGAGTCCTTACGAAGGGAATACACTACATATTTGCTACATATTTTTCAACAGTTAAAACTTTTCATGTGGATGATATTTTCTTTGTGCATCTGAAAAATAGTCTAGACTGAATATCTTTTAACCCTTCACTAATGGGTATGGTTATAGCCATCATGACGCAATAGCCTATGACACATATATGCATAATGACTCGCAACGGGTGAGTAGGCTGTATAAAGCTTTGGCCAAGCCACATAGTCTAGGCTGTTGTGTAATATTACATCACAAAAAAAATCAGGCCTTGTCAAAATAGGGTTAAATAATCCTCCTGCATAAAACTCAAAAGAAGCCTTAATGTTGTTCATTTTTTTGGACAGTTTCCTAACAACTTATAGTTTCTCTGGTAACTTAACGGATCACAGTCATCGCATTACTTCTATTTTATGTGGGGGGGGGGGGGTTCACCCACATTTTTTGTAAGTCAAGGAGTTATAAATATGGGATTTAGCAAGTGACATGTATGTAAAAGATGTTATTTATTGCTTTTATCCTAAACCTACTAGTAAATAAAGAAAAGTTAGCAATTTCCATCAATGGTCCCCTAAATGTTTCTCATTAAATACAGAGATATTCACTCCAATTAACTGCTACTTCTATCCTTATTCAACTGACAGACTGTTGCCAGCATGAGCAATATTTCCTATTAAAAGATCTATATTATACTTGGGACCGTGTTATTCTTAGTAACTAAAAACAAAATATCCTTTAACCCACTTATGACATACGTCCCACATAGGAGACACCCGGAAAAGCAAACATTACCGAGTGTCCCGCCACTAAGACACTAGATCGGACCGCAAGCCAATTTTGAAGCCACCCGGAAAACATAATTTTCGACTTGAAAATGTACCATCACTAGTGGGTTAAGCAGTATAAAAAAAAAAAAAAAAAAAATCACACCACAAATGGCATTTAGCTTCTTATTTAATACATATGGCACCATGCAGTTTTGAGGTTCATAGCAGATGCTCAGTAAAAATGAGGTGCTGGCAATGTTACCATGATATTATCATCTTAGCACAAAAATATGCAGGTAATCTGGTCTGCAGCTATGTATTTCATTCATAACATGCTACGTGCTACAGTTAAAAGATTTAAGGGTTATATTGCATTAGTTGGGTATTAACAGTTCTACTGCAATGTTTTTGTCTATTTTTCTTTTTTTTTTATAGAATCATGTATAAAATCCTCTTTGACAATATGGATGAAGATCAAATTATTTCATTGTAAGGTTTTATGTGATATTCCATTTTGAACATTTTCTACTTTTCTCCACTGTGAAAGTATTGGTGTCCAGTTTCCTATACGGGAACCACCCGGTTTAAAAGATGATTTTCTTGAGAGAGAGAGAGAGAGAGATAGAGAGAGAGAGAGAGATAGAGAGAGACAGAGAGAGACAGAGAGAGACAGAGAGAGACAGAGAGAGAGAGAGAAGGAGAGAAAGAGAGAAAGAGACAGAGAAAGAGAGAGAGAGGGAGAAAGAGAGAGAGAGAGAGAGGTAGATACAGACAGATAGCCAGATAGCCAGACAGAGAGACAGACAGACAGACACACAGACACACAGACAGACAGACAGACACACAGACACACAGACAGACAGACAGAGAAAGAGAGAGAGAGAGAGGGACAGAGAGAGACAGAGAGAGAGACTGAGGGGGAGGGGGAGAGGGCGAGGGAGAGGGAGAGGGAGAGGGAGAGGGAGAGAGAGAGAGAGGGCGAAAGAGTGAGGAGGAGATAGAGAAAAAGAGAGAGAGAGAAAGAGAGAAAGAGACAGAGAAAGAGAGACAGAGAAAGAGAGACAGAGAGAGACAGAGAGAGAGAGAGAGAAAGAGAGAGAGAGAGAGAGAGAGAGAGAGAATGCATGTACAGGTGTGTCTGATTGTGTGTGTAATGTAATTGTTTAAATACCTCTCTTTACATGAAGAAACAAAATGTATCATTAGCTAAAATGCCAATTTAGCACTTGGAGAAAATCTGCCATAGACTTCATGGTAATATATCTACAATAAAGTGGAATTTTACAGAAAAACATTGGAGTTTCAACACAAAATATGCTATGTGTTAAAATATTACTTATCAAAAATATATACCAAAAAAAAGAAAGCAGAATTCCTAACAAATATTTCCAACATAATTCATGGGAATTTTTTAGCATTACATAGTTCATAACACTATGTTTGACTACTGTGTGGTAAATTGATACATGGATCACTGTAACTCTAGACTGTATATGTGCAAATGTTTTTTATTAGATTGCTGGGCTGCATCCGTCAAGGTGTCAAATTCGCTCGAAGAGTCACAGCAAGAGGTTGCACCACCAAATTCACTTTGTAGGTGCGATTTTTTGTTTTTGGTTTTATTCTGTGCGTTTCTTTTTGCTTCCAATAAAATAAATTCTTACTTTTTCCACTTTCTCACATCAAAATAAATTACGATTCTTAGACAAAGCATTTTTGAGACATGGTTTTAATGATGTTTTTCAAGCAGTTTTGAAAATTCAACATGGCGAAGTGAGCACTGAGGCAAACTGCTCTACAGGATATAGACTACCAGAGAAAAAAAGGAAAAGGAGTCAAGCTGGTGGATGTGGTACTCAGTCTGCTTTTTCTTTAGCTGACAGACCAGAAATACAGAGGAGATGGACTGCTGCCCTGAGACACCAGGACACAGGATGGAGCCCAAACCAGGATGGCATGTGTGAGCTAAATTTTCTGCCAGAGGATTTCATCCACGAGAACTCCAGGAAAACAATGGCAGTGCAAGATTTTGAAACCAGATGCTCTTGCTTCCATCTTCAACTGCATTTTCTGCAAGTATCTAATTCTATGAAAATATATTTTCCTGATACTTTTGGTACATCTTGAATTAATATTTGCAGTGGTGCTGTGGTGTGGGTATGAAGATGAAGAAATTCTAAATTCGTTTACAATGTACCCAATTTACTATTTACTATCTACACTGATCAAAATTCCTGAAAATGTCTCCTATGTTATCACAGTTTCTAAAATATGAGTACTAAGGCTTTACTCCTATTTCTTTTTCCTATTCTTGTATCTTTTTAATAAAACTAAAACATTCTCTGTGGTGTGGTTGACACTTTTTCTCAATAGAAATATGGTGCATTTGTTTTTAGGCTAATAGTGAAATAATGTTTATTAACCCACTAACAACAGGATCCCCCAGCACATTATACTGAACCAAGTGACAATGCACATACAGTAATAGAATTTCCAAGCTCTTTATGCTCATTTGTTAACATAAATAATCGTCTAGGTAGTGACACTAAAAAGAAGCTTTAATCTTACTTTTAAGAGCTGCTTCTCAGTAATGTCTATAACCATGGCCAAACAAGTGTGCTACTATCTAGCACACACAATTTTGAGAAAGCTCAACTGCACATGATGTGGGGTCATCCCAGTATAAGGGATAGTCTGCCAAGATGTGATACAACATCATTCCAGCCTGAACAGATTAATAGGCAGTCTGGTCTGGTTAGTTAAATATTTCTCGCAGTGCAGGCTATATCAGCTGTAAAATAGTTCATTTGTACAAAGCATAGTTTTGCTTCTTTATTTATGGGAATACTGAGTTGTTTGTCAAAAGGTTCCTAATGTAGTATAATTACTGTAATTTATTGTTTTTCAGAGTTTAGCCTGATTGGTAACATTGTTCCTTTATCACTGTGAGGCTATTGTTTATTACCAATCTTGGTAGCTGAAAGGGTTGACCATGGTAGGCCAGATGATTTTGAAAGTTTATTAAGTACTGAAAAATAACATTAACATTGTATTTCAAAACACTTGCAAGAATCACATTCAAATGGTATGAAAATTTTACATGGTAACATAATCAGATTTCAGTAACTTCTAATTCAAAAATTATAGTTGGCATACAGAAATACTGCAGTAAGAAGGTACAATGTATTAAAATGTTACTGACCCTGAGCATACATTTTTATGTGTAGCCTGCTTTCATCTATTGTCATCCAATCAAATAATTTCAATCATAATGAAAAAAAGAATTCCAAATCATAATCAGGAACATTTTTCGTCTTTGCCACTGAGCAACCTACATCCATGAAATCTTTGTCAGCCATGCGTCAGATCTCCAGGAGAAGAATGAGGCTTTTTTCACCGTAGGAAAGGTTTCATATTATGCAAAAGGCAAAGATAGTTACATGGAGATGTAAAAAAAAAACAGTTACTAAAAGAAAAAGAAGGTTACAAACTTCACACAGTTTAATGTATATGTGTACTATGCTCTTTGTATTTGAAAATGAATTCTCTCAGTTATGAACTGAAAATGTGTGAAAATTTGCATTGATATCCAGCTAACACTAGTTTCATTGAAACAGGCTTTGGGGCCGTTTTGCAATGAGCAAATATTCTATGTACAGTCCAGAGTTACTTTGATCTATAACTAATAATCAACTCCATTAATTGCTTTCTGCCATAATTATTTAACTGGAAGCATATATATTTTTTTCCTTTTTCCTTCTTCCCTTTTTGAATTACATTCAGGCAATTAGAGGAAAGGATGAATAGAATGCGATATACCCAACCTGATAAATCTAGTTGGATAAAAAAAAAAAAAATCCAAGTGGTCCCTTTTAAAATGTGTATATTATCCATTTTCCTTTTTCTTTGCATCAGATAGATGGAAGATTAATCATAAACTTCTCAGCACATACATGACAATTTATTTATAAATTCCACTAATCAGATTTAAAAGGCTACTGATTGGTCCTTCTCTCGTATAGTGTAAAGCACTTTTGAACAAAACAAAACAAAAGTGATAAAATAAAATAAAATAAAATCTAAATGTTTTATCTTTAATTTAAAAGTATTGCACTCTTTTAATAAATTAATATCATTCTATTACTTATTAGTGCTGGAGAATCCCAGTTATCTTAAAAAAACGAATTTTTACTCAACAGAAAATTTTAAAGGCAGTGAACATATACCATAACTAACATGATGCCTTATCATAGGAGGTTTGTACAAAAATAAGATATAATCTAAGGTTATGATTACTTTTATGGAAGTTTCTTCCATATATATTCAGCAGTCTCTCTTTTATAAAAGTTTCAAAAGTAAAGTACAATAAGAAACGTAATCATTACTTATCGTACATATATCTCACACAGTGGTTTAAGAAGTTCAAATTACAAAAGAACATTTATCTTTAGATCAGTTATCATGTATATTAATTAGGAAAAGGTTATCCACTGTCTATGTATCTCTTTATACTGTGTCATTTCCAAATAATATTCCAAATAAAATCTGAGCAAAAACTGATTTCAAAACTTGTATCAAAACTTTCTGACAATTCAATTAAACACTCTTTTGTTTTCTAATGAAGATAGACCACTATACAATCAACATCAGTCTCCATGCAAAACAGCATTCATGTATAAGCAAATTACAAGCACAAGTGAAGGAACGTTTTTCTAATCATTCCAGTAACACTAAAACTAAGAATAAAAAATCACGAATCCACATTTTTGTCCAAGTATCTCCATGGTGACTAATCATTTTCCAAGGGGGACAGAAAGCAAAGATCAGCCTTGATAGGATGAAGGGGAGGGAGGGGAATTCTATCACAAAAAAGCATCTCCACAGAGAAATGGGCACAACAATAAGACAGACAGGGTGCAAGGACACTGGGAAACTTCTCTACAACTATGACTACACATAGGATTGTGTAATTGGTTTTGATATAGTTTTTGGTGTGGTACAAAATCTCCCCCTCGGCCAAGAGGTCTTTTGTAGAAAATGAATTCTCCTCCACAAGCATAGTCTTTGTGATACAGCTAGAGGCATACAATCAGTCCAAATGGAGTAGCAGTGTACTCTTTGGACAAACACTAAGCACAACATACAGAAACAATTCTACATCTACCTGAGAATTCAGTTTCTATAAACACCCTCTCTTTCTGAAACATCCACTTCAAATATAAGCAAAGTAAAGTTCTGCTAGAACCATGTCTAAGCTGACAAGTTCCATCATAATTAATAGCAGGTAACAAGAATTATGAATAATGCATCAGTTGAATTATTGGACATCAAGCACTGCCAATTAATTTGATACCAATATGAGAAGGAGAATTGTCCTTATCACAATACTATCTAATCATTGGGGAATCATCGTGCCATGAACAAAGCAATGTGTCCCTAGTTACCGCTACCCTCCACCATATTAATAAAAATTAAGTTTACTTTTTCAAGGTTCAGCTCTTGAACCTTACCCAGCTACTTATTCTGGGTGACCAATTAATAAAACTTACTGACTGTTTTTTACCCAGGTTGTCCTGGCCTGGGAGGGTCTGAATTAGAGGGTGGAGGTCAGGCAGGGTCATGTTGTTATTAGTCGTGGATGTCGCGATAGGGTATTTCGGAGGAGACCTGGTAGTCATCGAAGAAATGATGCAAGTAGTCAAAGGTAGGTCGTTGATCAGGATACTTATCCCAGCAATGTAGCATCACTTCGTATAACTCATCGGGAGCTCGTGGAGGCTTGGCCATTCGGTAGCCCATCTGGACTTTCTCTATGACCTCTCGGTTATTCATTCCTGCAAGGCAAATCAAGCAATGCAAAGCTAAAGGCATAAGCTAGCAATAGGCAATGATAATCTATATCCTTCAAATTATATAATATATTGGTAAAACAAAGAGAATATAAAAAATATAGATCTGAGTAAACATATATCTATCATTGATATGAAGATATCACAGATGCTAAAAATGTTATGTGAAATTCTATCTTTCAGACTATGCTCTTATTATGTGTACTTTAAAATGCTTAACTCCTCTAAATCATTCAACATGATTCAAAATTTCTATGCAAAAACTTCTTATGTAAGACACAGTAATCATCCTTCTCATACAGAACTATCCAAAGAACTTGAAAATAGCAAATGTGTAGATCAAAGCATAATAATCAAGTGTGCAATTAGAACTAGTAATTATATTGCAAGAATAATTAGGCAATTTTGCAATGTCTGACTTGAAGCTAGCTATAGTCTGAAGCATAACTTATGGCTGACCCCTATTGACATTTTTTCTACCAACAATTGCATGTTAATGAATAAGCAGTATAAAACAAAAAAATCAGACAGACCTGGGTATGGGTTAGCACCATAGGTAATCACTTCCATTAGTAGAATACCAAATGACCAGACATCGGACTTGATAGTAAAGCGGTTGTACAGCATGGCTTCAGGTGCTGTCCATTTGACAGGGAATTTATTACCTAGAAAAGAGAAGTTACCATGAGAAAAAACATAACTAAGTAAAATCTTATATATAAAGATTGAAAAGCCCTACTAAGCTAAGGGCTAATGGCAAAGAAAGCATTCACCTGTATACATCAAAACTTAAGCTAAAAGTTAGTACTACAGAATATATCATGACAGACTTACATGTGCTTGGGCAGTAGTCTTCTCCTTCCACAATTCGGGCTAAGCCAAAGTCTGCCACTTTACATGTCAAAGATTCACCTACTAATACATTACGGGCAGCAAGGTCTCGATGTAACAACTGTTTGCTCTCTAGGTAAGCCATACCTGCAGCAACCTGGAAAATATGGTACCTTTAAATTCTCAAGTTCTTAGTTTATAACATCAATAATATCTATAACTTCACCCTCTCCTTTTTGTTAACTGGGAACTAAATTATCTGGCTGATGGCCCAAATCAAGGTTTGTACTCAACTTACCTTTCCCTATTAGTTATGAAACACATGGAGTGAGAGGGAAGTAGAATTTATGGAATGTATGGTTTTAAATTAAGCAACTTACTATTGACCTATGAGCCAGAGGGTAAAAGGGGTAAAAGGGATAATGGAAAGAAAGAGAAGAGCAAAAGAGACTAACCTGTGTTGCCACATATATTAAGTCATTGAGTTTGAGGGTGCGCTCGCCCTCATTCCTGAGCAAATCTAGCAGTGCACCATTACACATATACTCAGTGACTATTAGTATAGGTTCTTCTTTCGTACAAACAGCATAAAGTACAAGAATATTACGATGCCGTAATTTTTTCATAATTCTGGCTTCTTCTAAGAAGGCAGAAGGACTCATTGCTCCTTGTTTTAGGGTCTTGATGGCAACTTCTGTAGAGTTGTTCCACATACCTGATGAGGAAATGCAAGTAACTGTTATAGCAACTGCTCCTAACAACAATCACTAGAGCCAGTCAAACATTTTCAGAACACAAAAACAAATATGAATTTGCAAGAGTAACTTCTTTCAGGAAGCAAAGAAAGATTTGATGTCATATTGGTATTTCATTAATTTTGTTTTCAAGCAATTCACATTTCTCTTCTGCATCTTGTACTTGATTTCTATCACCAATAAAAAAAACTGCGTCACACTCTGTATACAAAAATGTATACAGATATAAAAACTAAAACAATAGTTAATGGACTTCATGAATTTCAAAACTATATAAATCAATCTAAACTAGAATCCTTTAGAAATATAAGTTTAAGTAAATATGCACTTCAAAAGGATGTTTCACTTATCGTACATAATCTGTTACTATTAATCCCTCCATCCATAAATGAAAGAAAATCAAACTTACCATACCACACTTCACCAAAGGAACCTTGTCCTAACTTCTTGTTCATGGAAAGAGTGTTACGGTCAATCTCCCACTGATCTTTGGTCTCTCGTGACAGATCCCATTTCTGGGGTTGTGGACGTGGACATGGGTATTGCAAGAGACATGCTAGCCCATAGTTGTTTCCTGGAAAAGGTGTTCATAATCTCTTTCTTACAAATGTAACACTGCATACCTTCTGCTCTAGACACTGGAAGCTGATGTTTGCATCAATCAGGATTCCTCTAAATAAATTTATAAAGCAAAGTTATATTCCACTCCATAAAACTAACTAAAATATATACATCTTTGGAATAAATTACAAAACTTTTCTTTTACAAATGTAAACAACTGGGGACATCATAGCTAAATCAATCCAACCCCTTACTTTTATAGGCATCCACCAGGTCATTGAGTGTCCGGAAAGCCTGTGATGAGGTGATGAAGAAGCCTCCATTGTCAGTGACCTTGATTCTGTAGTGCTTGACATGTTCTCCCTTTTGTTGGTCCCAATCCTGAGAAAGAACAACCCTGGTTACTACTCTGTTCCCTTAGTATAGATTTCATTTTTCTTTTACTATGACACCTCACAGCCCTTCAAGATATGGTCTTTTCTCTACATTTCACCTTAAAAAAATCAGAAATGCCAGTAAGATCATAAACCTTGCCACATTAACTCATCCTTTGATCCCCACCCCACCCCCCCAAAAAAAAATCTGCATATTTACGCACAAACACTGCAATTTAAATAAACTAGTACTCATATATCCAGGCATACAATTATACATTTTGATATTACTCTATACCCAAAACACCATTAAAAAAATAAAACAAATACAAAAACTAGTAGTAGTACTACTACTAGTAGTAGTAGTAGTAGTAGTAGTACTAGTAGTACTAGTACTAGTAGTACTAGTAGTACTAGTAGTAGTAGTACTAGTACTAGTAGTACTAGTACTAGTAGTACTAGTACTAGTAGTACTAGTACTAGTAGTACTAGTACTAGTAGTACTATTAGTAGTACTAGTAGTACTAGCACTAGCACTAGTAGTAGTAGTACTAGTAGTACTAGTACTAGTAGTACTAGTACTAGTACTAGTAGTACTAGTACTAGTAGTACTAGTACTAGTAGCACTAGTACTAGTACTAGTACTAGTAGTAGTAGTAGTAGTAGTAGTAGTAGTAGTACTAGTATAGTAGTAGTAGTAGTAGTAGTAGTACTAGTAGTACTGGCAGTAGCAGTAATAGTGCTACTAGTACTACTATTATGATGCGTTCGGAACTGATCGTCTATCTCGTCCAGACCAGTTGGACGAGATATTTTGACCGTTCAGAACCTCCACTATCTCGTCCCGGACAAGTAGTCTAGCTCGTCCAACTCGCCCTCCTGCAAAGGTGGGCGAGCAGGATGAGATGATGTCACAATAGATTTTGTATGTAAACATTGACAGTTGCAGGTAACCACAAAATATTGGTGGGTAATTTTATGACTCTTTATTGATGTTATCAAAGGATATTTTTGTGTTTGTCAGCTGCAGGTAAGTTAAATATGCATCAAAGTTACAAAACCTATGCAGCGTGTAAAATAAAGACACCGGTATGATAAAAAAGTGAATGTTTACATTCGAGCCGGTTGTATTCTGGGCAGAAAGGGTCTTGGAGGTTCCGAAGGCGGCCCAATTGTCCTGCTGGTCCTGGACAAGATGTCTGGACGAGAAAGACGAGCAGTTCCGAACACAGCATTAGTACTAGTACTATAACTAGTACTACTAGTGCTACTACAAGTACTACAAGTACTACTACTACTACTATTAATAACAACAATCATCATCATCATCATCATCATCATCATGATAACATAATAATAATAATATTAGTAATAATAAAAACATTAACAATATTATTGTTATTAACAATTATCATCGTGATCATCATCATTATTATTCATTCATCATTCACCATCATGATCATCATCATAATATCAACAAAAGTAACAGTAATAATAATAATAATAGTTATAAAAGCCAAAATAACAATATAATAAAAATAATAACAGTAATAATAATTATATGAACAATAATAATAATTATACAAATAATAATGATAGTAACTATAATAATAATGACAATGATAATAATAATAATAACAATAACAACTATGATGATGATGACACTAATAATGATGATAATAAAAACAACATTAACAATAACATACATAAATATGCATTTTTGATCTGGCTTATAAGGATTTCTGCAGAAACAACTGTCAACACTCACCCTTATACTTAGGAATATCCATGACTAGATTGTTCCGACATACGGATGAGAAAAGTGCCTCTTAAGTTCCCCCGTGTCATTAGTAATTTTTCTGCTTCTTTCCTGGCTATTTTGCCAAAGTACCAGCTGCAAAAAAAAAAGAAAACATTTATAATGTTATCACTTCTACATACTTATAAAGCTGAAAATATTTGTTTATCACAAGACAAGCCAAAGACAATCAAAATGTACGGTACAGATTTTACATTACTTACTCTTGGCACTCAAGTGAAGATGTGGATGCAACATAGTTCTTTGGAATATAGCCGTCAATGCCATGTGTCATATGTCGCGCTAACCACCAGTCAGCATCACTGTAAATGAAGGAGAGGATCATGAATATTCATTCCCATATTCTCAATTCTGAGTGTATGTATAAAAGTGTATGTACATTGGAAGAATTCTTTCCCATAAAGTTAATTTCCTGGTTAACTTACGCATCATTGAGAATCTCCATCCTGTCTCCCTTCTCAAAGGTGAGTTCGCCATTGCTGCGACCCTGGAATGAGTACATGGCCACCACGACCCGGCCTCGCGATGGCGTCGATGGCGTGACTGGTTCTGGTGAGATTTAGAGGACTTTCAAAACAGTGTAAAGAAAAAATGTGAATAAAAATCATAGTGAAAAGAGAGACTGCAAATACAGATGCTTTTTTTCTTTTTTCTTTTTTTAAGAAATGAAAAGAAATTCAAGTATTAAACCCTTAAACAGCAAATAGTTTCTATGACTAATCTCAAAGATAGGGAATAAAAATATGATTAAAATGCAGTCAAGTCATGTCACAGCTATTTTCATTATTATACAGGCATGTATCACATTAAGTTGATGACCAGAAAACTTAATCTTGAAAGAGTTCATCAGTTGGATTGAAAGCTCCATTTCTTCTAATCCACAGATAAATTGAAAATACTTCACAGACGTTGTTTGATCAGCAATAGTATTTTGCTTTCACCAAAATTACTTACATAACTCTTTAAAACTGCTTTTCACATCCTATCTATTTTTAATTTGTTGATGTGCTGAGGTAAAACACTAGTTACATCTTTTCCAATCAATATTTTGCAGAAAAGGGATTTAGTCATCTTTACAAACTTCATGATGATCTTTCTAAGATATTTCTGCATCCTAGAGTGGCACACCAATCATCAAACAGTTCAACTTGATGATATTCAATACAGTAATATGCAGTCAACTGTGTATCAAAAGCTATTATCAAAACTACATGCACTCAGCACTTCATGTCACTTGTTAGCTTCTAGATTAATTTTCAAGTACTTTAACATCACACTCATTACACTTGATATAATAAATATAAAAGCTAGCCAACATTCTATTTTCCTTTACCTTTGTGTAAAGTTTGCTTCAGATATGAAATATTCTTGTGCATGCCATACTGCTCCATATAATTGCATACACCATACTGCAGTGTCAATGGGGGTTAGTGATTCATTAAACAAACAAACATATATTACAATATAAATGTCCAGAGATATATGTTAGTCCCAAAAGAGAAAATCCTAAGCTCCAGTTCATACTTTTTGTTGTCTTACTGCTACAAGACAAACATTGAGATAAGAAATAAAGGACACAGCTTATATTAAACAAAAGCACAAACAAAAAAGGGAAAGCTATAGAAAGGAAGCATAATACAAGCAGCAAATCCAAGCAAAAGAGTCATGCATGAAAAAATAATAATAATAATTGTGGGCTATAATCAAAAGGTAATATTACATGAATGTACTTGTATAGACTGGTGCAAAAATAAATATGTGAATATACAATGATGTTTTACATTTAGAAAAAATATATATATACATACATCTGACTCTTTTAACATAGTCATGGATCCCATATATCTAAAAATCAATGATGACTGAACTTCAAGAATACTACCATGTGACTACAGCCCTTATACACCACCAACATACCTGGAGTGTTGGATCTGGGTGTCCATCGTTGCGAACACCTAACTGTATCATTCATAAAGACCAAACAAAATTAGGTATAACAAAGAGAAATTTGAAAGAAAACAAATAAGTGAAATATAAAAGGGATTTCTGTCTACACATCCTAAAACCAAATGAAAGAAGTATACATATACCACTT